AATAATAATGCTAATAAAAAAAAAAAAAGGAAAATGAAGAAAAATAAACGGGAGCCGAGCGTGGCTCGGCCACCGTGGAAACGTCAACACGTAAAACAGAATAACGTTAAATACAAATTAATTACAAAACTTAATATTATTCATAGATGTGAAACACGCGTAGTACTTGTGCCCTTGCGGAGAAGGGAATGCCACTGGTTGGAAATTGGAAAGAATGTACAGAAATTAACGAATCGAGCCCGATGCGAAAGAAAGATGCTCAATCGTCCGACGACGAGTCGGTCTCCTCACCGTCGTCAACCTCTTGCGCATAGACGAACTGATTGTAAATGTATGGGTTTATATAGGCCTGTTTACTGGGCGAGTAGTTCACGACAGCAATGCCGTTAGGATCAGACTTATAATTGTACAAGTGTGGATAGAGACCCGCCGGCGCAGCGACGCCGATATTTACAAATTTCTGATAACTCTCGGCCTGCGGACAGTACGAAATGCCAACGTCCTGATTCTCCAAACACCTCTCCACCGAATTTTGATCGGCTCCGTCGTCCCGCTGCGAAACGTGCGAGACCTCCATGATCCGATCGGTCTCGCCGCAGGGCTTCGAATCGAATTTCATTACGTCGGCGTAATGCGCACGATCTGGCACTAACGCTTGCTGTCGATAAACGTTCGTATTGGGAGCACAATGTTGACTATGATAGAGGATCGGCTGGTAATGACCGTGACCTACGACCGGCAACGTGTTAACGTCGACCTCTGTGTAAGAGACGTCTGTCATTTCTTTAGTGACGTTTCTTGGGTGATCTTCGACAGGTGAACGGTCCATTGTGTCTGAATATATGGAATGATTTGGTGATGATGTATCCATATATTCCTGTGAGTCAGCGTATGTGTTTTCAGGGTGTGTCGTATCGGCTGGCTGGTGCATGTCTGTTAGAGTTAGATGACGGTTGACCTGCTCTACATGGGTACCAACCTGGATCCCAGTAGTCACCGTCGACTCCACGTACGTCTTTCCGTGAAGACCCGGCTGACTAAGCGTAATCTCTTTCGTCGTGATACCCTGAATCCTCCAATCTTCCGAGGCCACCGGCACGTCGCCCGAGTCCGGTTCGCTGCTCGACACGCAATGAACCATCGGCTGCAAAACGCAAATTAAATATATTTATAAAAAAGTTCCACGATCAACGATAAATAAAGCTCGATACGTGTACGTAACTTTTACATATGAATTTCAACGTCTGTTGTGTAATTCCGTTTCGCTCTTGTTTCGCAACTTATGCAATATTTTAGCGGAACAGAGGAAATCAGATAATCATCTTTCGCAAAGATCGTTGAACCGTTTAATCTATCTATTACCGTGGACGACGAGTGATGTCTAGCAGTGATGGGCGGCGCGGGCGAGGCCGCTCCGTGCGTCGTGGTGTCCACGGCGGGGCTGTTCGACCTCTGGCTGTTCCCCGGGCTGTGCGTGGTGGTGTCCGGCGGCGATCCTTGCCTCATCATGGCCGACTGAGCCATGTTCGCTTGATTCGCGGCCGTTTGAGTGGAAACGGAGTGTCGCGCCATCAGCGGGCTGTGTTGATCGCTCTGTTGAGCCGTTTTCTCGAGAACGGTCGTGCTGCTGCTGGCGAGAACGTACTGCTGCTGCTCGACGTTCTGCTCCGAGGACGGTGAGTTCACGCTGCTCTTCGGCGACGTGGGCGCTTTTCCCTGAATCATCCCGGAGCTCAGTATGTACGACTGATTGTGATCGATGTTGAGCGACGGGTCGACGGCGGTACCGTTCGAAGCAGCGGCTTGAAAGTTTGGTATCTGATTGTTCGACACCATGGTCGTTTGTTGCTGCACGATCGTCGTGTTCTGCTGGACGAACGTGGTGTTTTGCTGATTGGGCGCCGACGAGACAGCGATGTTCTGCGTGGTCCCGCAAGGCACCATCAACGTCTGCCCGTTCATCTGTATGAACTCCTGCTGACCCTGCATGTTCGTAGGTCGGACCTGCGAGGCGTTGAACGTCACCTGCTGGTTCGGGCTGACGTTCGCCACTATCGGGCTCAGTTGATTCCCAAACGACGTCGTCCCGTTCACCAGGAATTGGCCGCTGTTCGGCGAGAGGAACTGCGCGCCGGGGCTGTGCTGTTGAATGATCTTGCCGCCGGTTGCCTGCGGCGCCCGAATCACCATCCCGGCAGGACCAGCTGCCAGAATGCTCTGACTCGGATTGAATATACCGCCGTGGCTCTGCACCGGCGTCAACACGTTCTGGCCGTTCACGTTCTGTATCTGCAACTGCATGCCGATGTTTCCTGTATCCTGCAGCAAGGTCGCTGTCCCGTCGGCGGACATCACCATACTTCCTATGCCAGGGACGATGAACTGCTGGATCGTGGGGAAATTTTGGACCATACCGGCCGCCCCGTTCAAAAGATTCACCGGCTGCAGAAGATTGATTTGCTGAGCCGGTTGAGGATTCGCGATGATTTGCTGGGCGTTGAACTGAGCGGACGTCGCGCCAGCCTGGCCGTTCATTACCAATTGTGCCGGTGCACCGCCCTTGCCAGGGACGATCGTCAACGCCTGCAACATCGGGCCGCCTATGCTCTGGGTCTGGAAGTTCTGCTGGGCAAAGTTCGACTGCGACTGCATCAGCATGCCAGCGTTCTGTTGGGACGAGGCGATGTGCAACATCGAGGCCACCGTCTGCGGGTTCGCCTTTCGCTTCTTGTACGCTTTCTTCTTGCTCATCGCCGACTCCGGCGACAGCAACGCCGGCTGCCGATTCACCATTCCCTGGCTCGCGCTCACGTTCCTCGCGACGTCCTGATTCGCGTCCAGAATCGACTGGGCATTCTGTATCACGTTCCCGGTCGCGACCGTTAGATGCGGTATTTGAACGTTCTGGCCTATGCTGTCCATCGTCATGACGCTCGGTTGTATCAGCACGGGTGTCTGAATCGTGTTGACGAGCACCGTGGGCTGGCCAATGACTTGCTGAGCTACGCCCACCGCAGGGATCACCTGGCTGACAGCTCCTGTCACGCTGGTGACCATAGGCGACACCGACAACGGCGGCATCGAGTTCGAGTTGGAAATGATTTTCGGAGGAGGTGGCGCCATCACGCCGTTGATCCCCGATCCCGTGCTGGCCATTATAAGCTGGCCACCGTTCGACACCAATATGTGACCAGGAGGCAAGGTCGAGCCAGCAGGATGTTTCAATATCCCACCGGACGTAAGAACGTTATGAACTTGAACGTTGGACTGAGGATGTTGTTGCGCCGGTTGTTGTTGTTGTTGTTGCTGCTGCTGCTGCTGCTGCTGTTGCTGGCTCTGAGGTTGGACCGTTGGTGAATTGGTACTGGCCTGAGGCACCTGTATACTACTGACGACGCTTTGAACCATCTCCAACGGCGATTTCGACACGCTTATCGCTATCGATGGCTGACTATTCGGAAGCGAGGTCGTGGCAACGACGGTGGTTGGTATGTTTGTCAAGGTAGTGGAGGACGCTTGATGTTGCGGCTTGTTCGAGAGTATGTCTGGTATAGCGGGATTCGGTATCCCGGAAGGTGTGTTTATCGAAACCGTGGCGGTGTTCGCTCTTCCAGCCAGCACCGACGTGATGGTGTTACTGCTAACCGTGTGCCCGCTCGCCATCGTCGTTATCACCGACGAGGTGCCAGCGAAATGATTCATCGGTACTCTCGAGACCGCGTTTACAGTGTGCGGATGTGGCTGGTAACCGTCCAACGACGACTGTCTCGTTGTCTGCCTCTTCGCGATCATGGGACTTTCCGAGCCGGAGGTGGATGCTTGCGACGACGCCGCGCTAGAAGGAACTGCGTTCGAGCTCGTTGCGGCAGAACAGGGCGTTTCCGCGCGTTGCTCCGACGCAACGTTGCTCACCGAGGACTGCGAGGGTTGCTGAGCCTGAGGCGTTAACGGTTGACCCGACGGCACCTGACCGGACGCGGAATGCGACAGAGGTGTCGGTGGTTGCGAGTAACTGTGCGGCGTCGACGGCTGCGACGAGATGAGACTCTGTGGCGTCGCCGGCTGCGATATCCCGGGTGTCGACGAAGCTGGCGTGTCCGAGTTCGCTGGACTGTTCGTACCGATCGGGGATCCGTGACTGGTACTCACGGTACCTCCCTGGATCGGTCTCGAATCTGCTTGCTGCTGACTGTTCTGATACTGTTCGCCGAACGTGGACGACGTGACAGGATCCTCGCGTTGATCGGAATGCATCAGGTACTGACGTTGCATCTGTTGTTTATACTGATCCTGCGCGTACGACTGAGTGTCGGCACTGGTGACGCAGCCCTGGCAGGGACTACTCTCCGAATCTGTTCCGCCGCTGCTCGAAGTGGGTGTCATGCTACTGTGCACAACGACGGGCGAGGTGGCGTGATTCTTCACCGAGTTGAACGTCGACGTACTCGTGGGGCTGGCGCCGGAGGAAGGCTTTGGTTGCGGAAGATAAGCGTTGCTAGGCAAATGCGATCCGTGACTCGTCTGCGGTGTTTTCGAATTATTCACCATTCCCACCTGAGAGCTACTGACACCGGTCTGCCTCGATATCGTGCTGTTCAACAGAGCGGTCTGCTGCGCCAGGTAACCACTCGGATCCTCCAGAAACGACGGCCCGCTGCTGTTCACGGTCGAGCCTATTTGATTACTGTTCTGTTGATTCTTCTCGTTGAACTCGTCGACCGGACTGGAGGCCGACTGATCGAGGCTGTTGCTCCGAACATTGTCCGTAACGCTGTGCTGTCGCTGTTTCTTCACCATTATTTTGCTCGACTTTGCCTTCTTCCGTGCCACTTCGTCGGTCCATGTGGACGTTTGTGGAATGTGATGATGCAGAGGCGGGACACGATCGAAGGAGTTGCAAGTGATGTTTTGAACCGTGACGAGGGAAGGCTGATGAGTGCTCGAGGCTGACCGATTCTGCTGCCAAGGTGGCGTCCTCGAATTGAAATGCACGTTACCGGGTTGTCCGTTTGGTCCCATTCCAGACTGCGCTTCGACAGCGTGATTGGTATTCGGGCTTCTTCCCGCTACGTTAGGTAAAGCGTATTGTTGTTGATGTTTAACATCGACGACAGTTCCTTTCGAACTGTCGAAATTCCTCGCAGGATACTGAACCTGATTCTGAACGTACATTCGTTGCATACTTTCGTGCGAGTTGTTCTGTAAGTTTCCATTTTGTACGATATGGTGACGCTGTATCGCGTGATTGTGCAACAGAAGCTGTTGCTGCTGCTGTTGCTGTTGTTGTTGCTGCTGCTGTTGTTGTTGTTGCTGCTGCTGCTGCTGCTGTTGTTGCATTTGTTTCGCGTTCAAATCTTCATCCGTCACAGACGGAGTACGATTGTGCCTGTTCTGCATGTCAGCGGCGCTCATCATAGAAGCAGGAGGAGTTTGTTGCTGCATCACGTCCAACGAATGATGATTCAACTGTTGATTAGGATACTGAGATTGCACGCACACCTGAGGTACTGGTTGTTGGTGCTGATGCTGCTGTTGCGGCTGCAGTTGCTGTATTTGCATTTGAAACTGATCCGTTGGTTGCGCCTGCATCACGTGTTGATTAGGCTGATGCTGCTGCGTTTGGTGCTGCAGCTGATGCTGATGAATTTGGTGCAACTGCGAATGAAGAGCAGACTGGGCCGTTACTTGCGACGATTGCATGTGATGCACATAATTCTCCGACGAATGCTGAGGATTGTAGTTGCCCGATTGTTGATCAACTTCTTGAACCAAATGCTGCTGTTGTTGCTGTTGTTGTTGCTGCTGTTGCAACTTGTGTTTCTGCATTTGTTGCAGATGCAATTGCTGTTGCTGTTGCTGCTGATTCAAGTGTTCCTGTTGTTGCATCACGTGTAACGGTTGCTGACTTAATTGATTAAGGTAATGGGGAGCCTGCTGTTGCGTCAGTTGATTTACGACTGTATCCTGATGCTGCTGCTGCTGTTCGTGTTGCTGTAAAATCTGCATGTGTTGCATTTGCTGATGGTGAGGCAGCAACTGTTGAGGTTGCTGTTGCTGCTGCTGCTGCTGCTGTTGGGATATATGTTGTTGCATAAGTTGCTGCTGCTGTTGTTGCTGTTGTTGCAAAATAAGCTGTTGATGTTGCTGCTGCAGCAGCTGTTGTTGCTGCTGAGTCATGTTGTTAAAATTAGCACTCTGTTGATTCATGATCAGCGAATTTCCCATCAACATCCCCGACATATTATGCTGACCTAACCTTTGCTGAGGACTTCTCGTTACACAGCCATTTATGTCTTGCGCTTGCGAAGGCGAGTTTATCGTTTGATGGCACAGCTGCTGATTGCTTTGCTGCACTTGTAAATTGGGAATCGCAATAGGCCACACCTGAAATATGAAAAATACCCACGTTACGCTCGATATAATCTCAATTATCAAATCGTCTGACGATACAATTACTTTCTCTTTACCTAGACTGGACTTTGATTCGAATTAGCACATGTCACGTTACCTGCGATCCATTTGGTACCGGCGACCCCTGCACTCCAGACGCCGCAACGATAGCTCTTTCGCGCTGTGCCATTAGTTGCGAGACCGAGACACCGGAGAAAATGTTTCCAATACCCCCTATTTTCCTCTTCTTTTTCTTGTTGAGGCCATCTGAAAAGCAAAACGAAACGCTGATCTCTCGTCATTGGGTAGTCAAATGTAGCAAGAAATCGCATTAATCGCTAATGGAATTCCGTGGAGCACGTCGCTCTCGAAGGTCACGGGAAATTAAAATGCGGCTCATTTCCCTAACTCTAATTTTATCCTTCCACTTGTTATTCAAGCGCTGCTTCGGGCTTCTTAATGAACGAGTGTTCCATTTGAAGTCCCACCGCAAGGTTAAATCCCATTTAGCGTAACAATTCCAAGATTTGTATCCGTTTCGTTCCGCTGTCTCCCTCTCTCGTTCTTTTTTTCTTTTCTTTTCTTTTTTTACTTTCGTAAAACGAACCTTTTCCCAATCTTCTGTTTCAATTTCGAGTTTCAAAGGTAAATCGTGAACGTGATTTCTTTTTCAAGCGCAGAAAACTGATGTAGGTACGATTACGAAAAATAAACGTCGAATTATGCTGATTTGTACTTTGACGCATTCAATTGATACTTGTCGCTTAACGGAAACTGTTAGACGATAATTTCAACAAAATTAAATATATATATATATTAAATATTCGTAGACTGAGAGAATACAAGTGAAACAATTCGGAAATTGGAGCAGATTTCCTTGCTGCTTAAAAATACGAACGCGAGCGAATTGAAGAAAAGGGAAAACGAATAACTGTTTGACTATTTCTGATCGAAGCTGTACAGTCTCGCGCGGCCGCAACGTTGGACAAGCTGACATAACAAGCGTTCGCGCTGCGGAATTACCTTGATTTACGAGGATAACAGAAAGCAGAATGGCAAAAGGGGGGTGGGCGAAAGGGATGGTTTTCAATGGGCGGTCTTTTATCCGCGAGCCTACGGCGGATAATTATTCTCCGCGGCTTCAATGGGGAAAGAGAGACAATTCGGAAGCCATTGGGGGAAGCAGGACAGGGAGGAGAACGAGGAGAAAGTGAGATTGGGCGAAAGAGCGGGCAGATGTAATAACGAATCCAGCTAGAAGCAAGGCCAAGTTGTCTGCAACGAACGACGGCAGTTTAACCCGATTTTCAAAGGAAGGGCGATGAAAATTTGCGTAAAATCTCCGAAGCGTTTTGCGGCTTTCGAAGGGAGGTTCGCGCCAAATCGCGTGAAATCCTCTCTCCCTTTATCCCAGAAATCTGCAGTCAATGGCTGTGAGCGTTGCCGCCATTTAAATCTGACGAGAAGGACGAAACGGGAACCATCGAAAGACGGACGTCGCAAATTCAATCGCAAGAGAAAATTACGACGGCAGCTTTCGTCGCTCTTTGTCCGATATCGTTGGCAATGTTTCCTTACTTTCGTGCAAGTTTCATCCGTCGAGGCTAAATATCGATCGAAACGATCAAATACCAAATGATAAGGCGAATGATCAGTTCTTCCTCGACGCACGACTGAGGGGAACTCAGAAATAATATGCTAACCAAAGATTGTTCCCATAGTTCTCGAGCAAGTCTCGCGATGCAGCTGCAAGTTGCGAACTCGGCGTCAGCAGAGATATCGACAGAGGGACGACCAATCGAACCGGACGAACGATCATAATTACAAGGATCTTCCGGCTGGAGAAGCGAAGCGAAAGTTCTGGCTGACGGCGGGATTCGAAGACACTCGAATCACACTGGAAATCCAATTTGAACGTCGGCCAAGGCCTACTCGCCCGGTAGCTCGGTCATGACGATCCCAGCGTGGACCGGACGTTACGACGTGGCCGAGCCGTTGATGCGGACTAAACGGAAGCGGGGTAAAATGCGCTTGCGCGACCACAATAGGACGTCGGCCGAGGACGAAGCCGGAGGTGGCTTGGAACGGTGTCGGCAGAAAAGGGAAGGGGGGAGAGTGAACATCACCCCGTGTCGGGGCAGGCGCAAGAATCACAACTGGACACAGACGTTGGACCGCAGTTCCTCTTCTCTCTCTTCGGCCATTCGGAGCTCCGTGACGTCGCGCCTCTTCGTACGAAATTAACCCTTATCAACTCTCTGTCTGCCACTACCACCACCGCAGCCGCCAGCCAACACCATCACCACCACCACCACCACCACCGCCACTACCACCACCACCGTTGCTACCACCTATTCTGTCCTCGTTCTCCTTCCTGTTCTGCTACCCCCACCCCGGGGGCCAGTCTCGTCCAAACTAACATCGTCGCGTTGACGTCGCTGGCAGCGAATGGTGAGCGGATTCTTTCCTTCTCCCGGGACTTATTGATCGCCCCAGACGATAAGAAGACACGAGCCGGCCGATTGGTCCCTCTTCCGGGGATGTCTAGCTCGCCTTCTCTCTGCTGCGAAACCCTCTTCAACACACCGCGCCGCGAGAGGAGAGAGAGAGAGAGAGAGAGAGGAAAGCTTCTGTCCCGCGTACGGATTTCAACCGAATGCAAATTTGTGGATCGTCTGAGGATTTACCCTCCGATGACGAGTGGAGCTTTAAAATTGTCTGGGGGCAACGAGCGCGTCGCAGGGACGCGCGATGCCAGGAATTAGACTGATTTCGTTACCAATCACTGTTTTCGGCATTCGGTACAGATTTCACGCGTGTTCGTTCCTTTGAAGCAACGAGGTCGAGGGGTTAGGTTTAATTTAATATCCTCGAAGAAAGGTGAAATCGATCGCCTGACGGAGAGAGAGAGCTTGTTTGCCACGGAAAATTGCTCACCATAGTCAAGGGCGAACGCGATCGATTACTCGTCACGTGCCTGCGTGTCAGAAAAACTGATCGTCAGACGGGATGTTTTCTCGCGCGGGGCGTGAAAGTCAATAGGCAAGTCGCGGAACGAATTACAGAGAGAGCGGCTTGCGCGCTCTCTCGTCTGCAACAAGAAATTGAGCGCGTATTAACCTCTTGCGCTGGAATGACGTACGTCGAGAATTTTTTGTCCCAAATTGCAACATTTTCACAGTTTTACGTATATTTAAGTGTAACCCAGGCGAAACAAATGACAAGTTTATCACTTCTTAATCATTTTTATCCAGTGATATCGTATCGACGAGTTCAAAAGAAAAAGAAAGCGACAAATTGTTGTTTGGTCACTCGTTATGGTCCGCGCAACCAGTTGTCAGCGCAAGGGGTTAGAAAAAGAACAGCGCATGAACCAAATGTTCCTCTCGTAGTGATTGTGAGCGGGATTACTATCGCAACCGACTAGTCATCGAAACTAACATGTTTCATACTCCTGATGTAATATCAGTACAATATTAAATTAATTTGTGCAATTAATTTATCTGTGATAAGTAACCTCAATTCAATTTTAATTTATCTGTAATAAATAACCTTGATTCAATTCTAATTTATCTGTAATAAATAACCTCGAATTTAATTTAAAATAAGAATTGAAAAATTTAAAATACGAGGTATTTGAATTTAATTTAACCTCTTGCGCTGGAATGTTTTGTCCCCAATTTGCAACATTTTCACAGTTTTAAGTGTATTTAAGTGTAACCCAGGCGAAACAAATGACAGGTTTATCTCACTTCTTAATCATTTCTATCCAGTGATATCATACCAGCGAGTACAAAAGAAAAAGAAAGCGACAAATTGTTGTATACGGTTTGGTCACTCGTTATGGTCCGCGCAACCAGTTGTCAGCGCAAGGGGTTAGAAAAAGTACAGCGCATGAACCAAATGTTCCTCTCGTAGTGATTGTGAGCGGGATTACTATCGCAACCGACTAGTCATCGAAACTAACATGTTTCATACTCCTGATGTAATATCAGTGCAATATTAAATTAGCGTTAAATTAATTTGCGCAATTAATTTATCTGTGATAAGTAACCTCGATTCAATTTTAATTTATCTGTAATAAATCACCTCGATTCAGTTCTAACTTGTCTGTAACAAATAACCTCGAATTTAATTTAAAATAAGAATCGAAAAATTTAAAATACGAGGTATTTGAATTTAATTTAACCTCTTGTGCTGGAATGTTTTGTCCCAAATTTGCAACATTTTCACGGTTTTAAGTGTATTTAAGTGTAACCCAGGCGAAACAAATGACAGGTTTATCACTTCTTAATCATTTCTATCCAGTGATATCGTACCGACGAGTCCGAAAGGAAAAGAAAGCGACGTGTTATCGTATACGGTACGGTCACTCGTTATGGTCCGCAATCAGTTGCCAGCGCAAGTGGTTAAAAACGAAAGTAAATTCAAACGACGAGTCCACCGACCAGCCGTCGGAATTCCATTAATAGCGAGTCTCGTTTCTCGTTTCTCGGCCGTGTCCTCCCTTCGCCGTGCACGTAAAAGCCATTTCCTCGGGGCTGAATCGGTGCAAAAACCGAAAAGAAGAGAGCGAAGAGAGAAATGAAATCGACTTTCGTTATTGAGACCCCGGTGGATTCGTGGAAGAGCGACGACGATAAAGATTCATTCGATTCCTCTCGCCCCCCTTCCCATCCCCACCCTGCGGGGCTTATTCCTTTTATTTTCCACTCCCCTCGTCCCGCGGAGGTGGTGTGTGTTTGCACACCACGCGAAACGTATTACCTCCGCCGTTGAAATGCCCCGACAGAAAGGGAGAAAGATGGCGTGAAACGAGAAGTGGGAGGGTGGACGTTTTCTCAGACCGTGTCGTTTTATATCACCGGAAAATTGGAATCGAAGTGAACGCTATCGTCCATGTTAAAACGATCCTGCAAAGTATCACGGTAACACTGCTGCCTCTACGTCTATGTACGATAACGAAATAAATCTCTGGATAAAAGTTGCATCGAACGATTTCACGTGAGATTTTTGTTGGAAAGAAAATAAAGAGCGGCGAGGAAATAATACTAAATTCACAAATATCTTTTAGTATATAGATAACGATACAAAATAAGAAACGAATGGGTATATATGGGTATATATCCACGAGGATTCGTTCTAGCTCTCACACACATACGACACGGTCACTCTCTCTACGATAGCTCTCTATGAAATCTCTAAAATGTACTGGCATAACTGTCTCAATCGTTACCGATCCACATACACACACATAAATATCCGCACTCTCGACATGCCAACCATCACTTCTTCCTAACGATTTTTGAATGAGATTCAACTTGAACAACGAACGAAACATCGCGACGAAACGTCGCGAAGAACTACAGTCCGCGAAAAAATTAAAGTCGGCGAGAGTTTGAAGAACGAGAGCTGGAAAGACAAAGTGAAACGCAAAGTTGGAAAGTTAGGCGAGCGGCCGATTAAGAATCAGCAACGTGGTTGTCCTTTAAATCCACCACCGGACGGCAGAGAGCAGCGGGACGATCAAAATACACTGGGCGAGTCTCAATGCAGAGAGCCAGGGGCCCATTGTTTCCCATCCCCGTCGGAGCCTCTCTCGCTCTGTGTGCACAGACTCGCTCGAAATAACAGTCGTTTAATTAGCGACGCGATGAAGAAAGGAAAAGGGCGAAAAAAAGGGAATGAAGAAGCAGAGGAGCCAAAGGGTAGCGAACGGGGAGGTTAGTGAGAGAGAGAGAGAGAGAGATGAAAAAGAGCGAAAGTCGGTCTTGCTCTCTCGGTCGGTTATAGGATTTAGTAATGAAATCCGGACGGGGGGAGGTTTAGCCGCCACGGTGATACATCATTCCAACCCTTACCACCCCCTTCGGGTTTCCAACGCCTCCCACACGGTTCCTACGCGTTTCTACGCGTTCGCCAACTCCGCTCCTTTTTTTCACCGTCACATCGGCGAGCTTTAATGTCGGCCGGTCCGCGCGCGAAAAGGAGAACGAGAAAAAGAGGGTGGAAGAGGGGGGGATGTGTCGGAGGCAACAGACCCCCGCTAATGTCGCAATTTCGTCGTTCCTTCTCTTCTTCCCGGCGACTTTTTTTTTCACCCCGGTTCCCTGCGCCCTAATGATCACGACGACTCGCTCGGCCACCGCGCGCGATGCACGGAGGGAAAAACTTTTGGTCGTCCTCCAATAAAAGTTTTCGCCCCCGCCGCGTGTTTTCTAGTACGACGGTGAATAAACGTTCCCGGCGATTATGGCGCGCCGCTCTGACTACCGGAAACTGGCGGAACTTTGTTAATACGACGGATCGATGGGAAAACTTCTTCCGAGGGGGAGAGGGAGGGGGAGATATATATCAACGGCGGGGGAGGGGGAGGAGAGGTGGAGGAGGATGTGTACGTGCTCGGTCGGCCCCCGCGAACGCCGCTATACGTGAGATTGATTGGCGAGTATGTATAATGCGATCGAGTTCGACGAGTTCGTGGCTCGTTCCCAGGAAGAACCTGCCAAGAAACTTTTCCTTCCCCCGGGGGAGAGTTCTGATTTTGATCGATCTTCATTCCTCTCCCCCCTTCTCCACCGCTGCCGGATAAAACCCTCCCTCTTGGCTGGGAAAAATTCTTTCCACGCGATTTTCCTTGCCAGTCTGATCGTGAAATACCTCTGCCCCTTTAATTGGAGCTAACTCGAGATCAGGCGTAACTCCGAATGCGAAGTTTACACTGTTTGTGCTTTTCCTTCTGATCAAGTTTCAAGAGGGTTCCTCCCGGTGCAGCTAAGAAAAACTTACGACGTTATTTAACTCCTTCTGTGCAAACGTCGATCTACTCTGTCGCGGGGAAAAAAAAAATAAAAAAAAAATAAAACGAAACAAAGGGGGGCGATGGATCGAAATTAATCGCGATAGGGAACTGGCACGCGCAAGTTTACACTGTTTGTGCTTTTTCTTCTGATCAAGTTTCAAGAGTGTTCCTCCCGGTGCAGCTAAGAAAAACTTACGACGTTATTCAACTCCTTCTGTGCAAACGTCGATCTACTCTGTCGCGGGGAAAAAAAAAAAATAAAAAATAAAAAAAAAAATAGAACGAAAGAAAGGGGGGCGATGGATCGAAATTAATCGCGATAGGGAACTGGCACGCGCAAGTTTACACTGTTTGTGCTATTTCTTCTGATCAAGTTTTAAGAGAGTTCCTCCTGGTGCAGATAAGAAAAACTTACGACGTTATTCAACTCCTTCTGTGCAAACGTCGATCTACTCTGTCGCGGGGAAAAAAAAAAAATAAAAAATAAAAAAAAAAATAGAACGAAAGAAAGGGGGGCGATGGATCGAAATTAATCGCGATAGGGAACTGGCACGCGCAAGTTTACACTATTTGTGCTATTTCTTCTGATCAAGTTTCAAAAGGGTTCCTCCCGGTGCAGCTAAGAAAAACTTACGACGTTATTTAACTCATTCTGTGCAAACGTCGATCTACTATGTCGCGGGGGGAAAAAAAATAAAACGAAACAAAGGGGGGCGATGGATCGAAATTAATCGCGCAAGGTCACGCTCTTACCTTTCCTGGCTTTGTCTGGCGAGGTGGGCGAGTCCGCGTTCACGTGAATCGCGGTTACCGCCGAGCCGCCGGTCGCCGAGGAGGAGATCGCCATTGTACAAGACGCAACAGGACTGCCGGCCGCCGTTGTTGGCACCAGAAGTTTCCTCTTATGGTTGCACAGCTTGGTCATCTCCCGCGTCTTGCCCTGATCCGGACTCCAAGGTCGTGTCGCAACCTGAAACAGAAGAACGACGCACCGAGTCGTTGGTTACTCGTTCGGTGTAACGAATCAATAGCAGTAGATGGAAAAAAAGCAACAGAAAAACAAAAAGGAAAAAAAAGATACGCTGGATGATTCTGAATTCGCGGTCGAGTATTGCACGATCCCCCGTTTTATTGAAAATATAAAACTGTCAAATCCGCCGCAGAGATCGCAACGACGTCGTATCGAGAGAGAGAAAGAGCTTTGGCTTAGAGAATTTTTCAGGTCGGTGTGTGCGAACAAACACGCAAAGCCCGCCGGCCACGTTCATTATAACGCCTGCTGTCGGCGCGAACATTCCGCGTGGCTGGGCGAGGATTCTTTTTATCGAAACGACACCGCCGTAAATCGAAGAATCGCACGGATAAGCGGACAAATAAAACACACGATCTCGCGGATTTTATTACAAAAAAAAAAAAAAAAAAAAAAAAAAAAAACCCCCCGCTGTGTCTCGCGGGTTTTTGGGTTTCCAGAAATTNTGCGCCGGTCAGTCTCAAACCCACCGATCCACGCGAGCCTTAACCCTTAAAAAAAAAAAAAAAAAAAAAAAGAAAAAGAAGAAAGAAAGAAAAAAAAAAGTTCCAAATATCCTAGTATAACCGGTCACCGATCGCCCGCCAGCTAAAGGTACAGCGTAGTATCTAATAACACCCGAGTTAGACTCTCGCCCTCAAGCCAACCAAACAAATATAGTTCGCATACGATTATTACAATACGAATTCTTAAATATCAACTCTTATACTCTAACGATAGAATGATAATAATAGGGTTGTGTCTCGGCTGAGAGAAAACCGCCCCGAGGCTCGCGAAAACGGCCCACGGGGGGAAAAAAACCGTCGCCGGCTATGCGTGTGTGTACGTTTCTTTTTATTTTTTTTTTTTTTTGTTCACTGTGTACGCCAGATAATTAGCTTCTCCTCTTTCCAACATATACCTCTTTCTTTCTTTTTCTTCTCTTTGCTCTCCTTTACGTTTCACGATTTCCCTCGTGTTTCCTTTTTTTTTTTTTTTTTTTATCTTCATCGCGATCGACGATACACGCTCGCACGCCGTGAAAGCAAGAAGGTGACGGCGCTTGCTTCACGGGATGATAACGATTTCTGTTGTTACACAAAAACGGCAATCGTCGAATAGTTTGCTGTGAATGAGAACCAGGCGTCCTCGCAATCGTCGACAATGAATCATTGATTGAAACAATTGACGGGCCACGACGACCACGGTTTCAAGCTACCGTGAACCTGTCGAGATCGGTAAATGATGGTTTTAGGACACCCTGTTGGCGCGTGCTTTAATTGCTAATTACTTTAAGTGGAAGTTTTGTTGATCCGACTGACCAACTTCTCAAAACGAATTTTCATTCAATTAGGCGTAGAAATTAATTCGATGTCTTTTTTTCTTGGATAGAAATTGCTTTTCTCGCTGAATTCTTACTGCAAAGATGTCGAATTAATTTCTACACCTAGCAGGTTACCTTTCTTGAAAAATCATCTTAAAATTCAACCATATGGTGATTAAAACCAGGGAAATTAATTACGCGAGTTTCTCTCCTTTCATTCTTTAAATTAAACTTGATAAAACAAAGAATTAAAATTAGTTTGCTTCCTAAACATTTCAATTCTTAATAAGTTTAAGATTTACGATTAGCATACGAGTTTCAAAGAACCTTCTATTAAGATTGTTACAAGTTACCTCCGGTGCCGAGGTAAACTGGATAATTGGACTGTAAGAAGAGTAAATATCGCTGAACGTAGCTAAATAGGATTCGTTGCGAATTACACTCTCTCCGTGGAAGTTTGTCTATCTTAAGTGTTTACTTAGAAAATATCTAAATAGGATGCAAAGCGGAAATTCCATTTTACGCTGCAGCCTGAAATTCTCGAAATGAGAGACCAATTCCAGTGGCAGTAAAAAAAAAAAAGAAAAAAAAACACTCATTATTTCTCATGCCTGAAAATGCTGCTCCTATTTTGTTGCATTTCGTGTTGTGTATCATTTCCAAAAAAAAAAAAAAAAAAAAAAGAAAAAACGCCTCGCTGTGTCTCGCGTGTTTTTGCGTTTCCAGAAATTCGTCAAATCCATCCAGTTGTGTCCATTTACGAGCATGACGAGCAAGTGCACGTAACGTCAGCTGTCAGTCTTGTAATTTAGTCCTGTATATACAGGGTGGGCCGGAATTCGCAGTACAGCCGTACAGGCGGTGATTCTACGTCAAAAAGTAAGAAAAAAATTTGGTACAACATTTTTCTATCTGGTGCTCTATCTGGTTTATCGAGAAAATCTACTTTAAAGTTTGTTCATCTTTGAGTTTCTACGCAATTCGTTGTTAGAGGATGTATCCTTACTTACTATAAGAAGCATGATTTTCCAACATGACGGTGCACCGTCAGATTATACGAGGGAGGTTAAAAATTTTTTAAATCAAACGTATTCGTGTTGCCTCTAGATTTCCTTTTATGGGAGCATACCAAAGAACAAGTTTGCAAAGACAATATTTCAAATATTGCACATTCGAAGCGAAAGATTATAGAGAGATTAAGAAAGATCAGCTTACATTCTGTTCAGATATCATTAATTCGTCGTGCAAACTTAAGTATGCAGGAACGAGGAGGACATTTTCAACGATACTTGCAATAGTGTACTGTATTGTAGTATTGCAACAGAAAGTAGTAATAAGGAATAAGAAATTAATTATCAGTAGAAACACTTTGTGCTGCTTTAACCACACAATAAATAACGTTTCTATCTCGGACAGAGACAACCACGGTAGAAGAACAGACAACTAAATCATCCACAAAGATGAACAAACTTTAAAGTCGAGTTTCTCGAAAACCGAAAAATGTTATGCCAAATTTTTTTCTCATTTTTTTGACGTAGAATCACCTCCTGCTCGGTTGTACTGCGAATTCCAGGCCCACCCTGTATATCAATCGCGGTGAAGAACGAGTTGATGCCCGAAAGAAGGCTCACCTTACAGGCAGATAAACTTTGGCATTCGTTCAAACCCCCGAGACACGCGGGGTTGATAGAGATTGACTACAGAGGCGCAGACAACGTTGAAACAAAGAGGCAGAATCACGTAATGAAACGAGTTGTTTCTGTGACCTACTTTGCCTGGCCACGAAACAACGACGACCATGCGGAGCTGCATCCGCGCGTAAGCAACGTCGATGTATTATGCATCAGAACAGTTTAAATTCCGGTTATTGGAACAATTCGGCCGACGTTTCGATGATTATCCAATTGCGCGTAATTGCAGTCGCGCAAATGTGTCTCCGCCAATCGCAAACAGCCTGATTCGCAAACAGCTCGCAGTAGGTATTTATTCGCGTGTGTCAGACAGCAACGAGATTGGTTAGAAATTTAAGAGGACGCGTTAGTTTTTTCAAGAATCGAGATCTATGTCTGTCAGCATCGCGAAGCTTGACCCATTGTCACGCTCAATCGAAAATTAAACGTAATTAGCGAAATCTCAAACGGTAATCAATCACCGCTGCGGACGTTGCAACGATGGCTATTGTTCATCACTGTCGTTCGCTGATTACTCATCACGTATTTACGCGTTTGGTTATTAATCTGTTACAGCACGGGGTTTCGACGAACGCGAGTAAATACAGATTGATATTCAAACGATACAAACTATCATTTCGAAAGTGGTGTAAGTTGATATTGATTATTGAAAAATGATAACTCGTTGAATCATTTTTCTTTTCCAAAGTGGACTTTTATCATTTCCAAAAAAAAAAAAAAAAGAAAAAGAAAGGTACATTTTTTCTCTTTGTAGTACGGTGATAACAAGTTATCAAACAATCACATTCGTATCTACAAAATATGAAAACACTTGCGTGTACTTTTCCTGGCCATTTTATTTTCCCAATTTTTCATTCCAAGGATATAAGAAAACATAACTGTAAAATAAGCATGTTTAAATAATATACGACTAACGGAATATGTAATTGTTGGATCAGCATTCACTTACTTTCAAATGAGATTTGCTGGAATTATGGTCGATAAAATTTTTCCGGCCGCCTATAGGCGCCTCTCGTGTCAGCGGAAGTAGATTAAGCGCCTATCGGCGCCTACAGTATTGTAAGAGCAATTTTTAAGTATTATAAGCGTAAATTTTGGGCGCCAACAGTGGTCAAAGGGTTAACGAAGCAACACGGCGTTGCAACTCGGTCGAAAGATTGGAACGCGTTGCGAGAATGACAGAAACGATCAGAAATGAACGACGCCCACGCTTTAATCCTCCGACTGCCGTGCCGGAGTCATTTCTGACCCGTGTTGAGAGCTACTCGAGTACAATAACGGACACAGTGATAGGCGCTGCTTGTGTCAGTAACTGAAATCTGATTGCACTAACGGACGAACGCGAATGTGACTAACACGTGTCCGCCAAAGTGCCGAAATAATAAAGACTGAAGACAAAAGACGAAAGAAATCAGTTTCTGGTAACGCTCTGAGGAGGAAAGACGAGTGCAGCAAATCGAAGCGATTTCTTATTTCAAAGTTTATTTTATATTTTAGTATTTTTATTATTGTTTTAGTATTTCAGCATTGTATTTTAGTATTTAGTATCTATAGTATAGTTTGTGCTATTTTTGTTTTTAGTATTTAATATTTTATATTATTTTTGTATTCACTATTTAGATCTTAGTTCTTAGCACTATTTTAATATTTTTTATTATTTTAATTTACTGTTTTCATTATTATTTTTGTTCTTTTTTATTACTTTTTTTCGTTTATATTTGTTTATATTTGTTTCCATTTGTAGACGTAATGTCTTCATTACCAACCGAGCAATCTTTCTTCGTCTTCTTTCGCTGAATTTGCGAACAAGACGTTCCTCACAATGAACAATCATCAGACAACAGAAGTCTATCAAATAGTGACGCTGAACCCGAAATGCAAGATTCCGCAGTCGAAATGCAAAAAGACAATATATCAGAAACTGTGGATAATGTAGTTCGAGAAAA